CAGAGTCCTCCAACCAACTCTGGTCAATTAATCAGGTTATCCGACGTGTGATAGGATTGATATTTTGTATGTCCAGCAGTTAGCCCTGCATTCTGCACGTAAGTAACCAAGTATTTAAGTAAACTTGGCCCTATCTTTTCTTTAAGACAGCAGGTCCCAGAACTTTTCAGACATGCTTTAGGTTACACATGTATTGCTCTATTCCCTATTTAATATCTATTTTTTAGACATTTCTGAACACATTTCATTGTGGGAACAAAGGCATGGATTCAACAGCTAGAATGGTGAGTGACAGATTACATTTTAAACCAGTAGATTTTAGTTGGTCTATGAGATTCGCAAAACTTATTCTGGGAACGACACTAGTCATGCACTGAATCTTTTTTTTTCCGTTTCATTTAAGAAAATCTTGGTGCCAGATTGGGATTGCATTACTCAAAAATTCATATTACCAATTTGGGTGCAGACAGACATTATTGCCACATGGCTGTGTTCCAATAGATCAATACACCTATTTTCAAGTGAGACTATAAATGCACTGGAGGATTTGACCGGATGAGTTTTCATTTAGCTCCTTCCCACCTTTATTGCCTACTTACATCCAAGCTGTATATCCTATATTTGATTAAAATATACTGTACCTATTCTTCATGCAGTTTCCCTCCTAATATACATTCCCCTGTACGTGAGCCATTGTTATTATGAAATAGGATGCTGTATGGAGATGTTGGTTTTTTTACAAAACACACCCTCAAAGCTCGGTATTATTTCAAGTTAACGATCAGCTCCGATCTCAGCGCACTCGCACCGTCACCGTTGAGGATCGCAAACTTGCTGTGCGCTGAATTATTCCTCAAAGGACCGGTGCAGCCGTCTGCGTGGTGGTGTGACAGTGGATTCACAATAACAATGAACATATATTGTCCCTGGGTGCTCATAATGTTAATTCCCGTCTACTGTGATTAGCTCGACAGACCGCTTGAACGTGTTTGTCACATGACATACGACGCAGCTAATGGCGCTTTCCACTGTGTGTCATATTGATTTTGTGAATTTCTGAAGGTGTCCCTGAGCTATAAAGGCATATTGTTTCTCTCATAAATAGTGCATGCGCTCCGTCCTACGTCGCCTACAAACACAATATACAGAGGATTCTTTGGAGAAAAGATTTTTGAGGATAAGCGGAAACTAATGCGGCACTCACGGTGACACTGTGGTTAAGTATGGGCGCGGCGTAAAAGTTTATCTCGTGGGATTTAGTGTCTGCCGCGCTGATTTATCACAGAAATGGCTTCTTTCTCACATGGTATTTGTCACCAAAACTGAAGTCGCTGCTCTGTCACTGCTTTTGCATTAAAGGATTTTTACCGGAAATGATTCAAAACAGGAGTTTGCATGTTCTCCCCGTGCAGCGTGGGTTCTCTCCGAGTTCTCCAGCTTCCTCCCACACAGTCCAAAAACATGTTGAGGTTAATTGGTGATTCTAAATTGTCCGTAGGTGTGAATGTGAGTGTGCTTGGTTGTCTGTCTCTAAGTGTAGCCCTGTGATAGACTGGTGACCTGTCCAGGGTGTCCCCTGCCTTCGCCCTAAGTCAGCTGGGATAGGCTCCAGCCCCCCCGCGACCCTAATGAGGATTAAGCGGTGTATAGATCATGGATGGATGGATGATTCAAAACAGCTCGTTTTCTGTCTGAATTGGAAGCGAGTTCAAGTGAATGTGTAGTTTGCTAACACTTTTAGCCCTCACGTGGCTATAAGGCTCCAGGCTACGCATCACATCATCATCCGCCGACTTCCCCTCCATGCAGCAGTGAAAACAGACACCTCGCTGGATCTCCAAGGACCCCAGAGGACAGGAAGGGGGAAGTGGAACGTGAATGTTCAGACGCTATTGAAACGGCACAGACAATTGCTCAACCCTATCAACCCCTCTCTTCTTTTCAACATTCATCGCACTCTCCCTCCACCCATCATCTTGACCCAATGTCCCTCTTTCCTCAAGCTTCCATAACCCCCCCACCACCCGTCTAATTCTCAATGGACCATGCTAGTCCCCTTTGGGTCATGTAAAAACCAGCATCATCCTTCACCTTGAAGCACTGCTAGAGACTGGATTAAAAGCCGGGTGGCCGAGGGGACGCTGTTGCAGGAAAAAAAACAAGGTCCGAAAGAGAGGTCAGGTGCATTTTTTTTCATGTGGTCTCAGCATTATTGAGTCTTGTACGATATTATATTCACTCCAGTATTCGCTTCATTGCAACTGAAATGAATAGATATATGTATATTTGTAGCAGCAAAAAACACATTTTGCAAGAAAATGCAATATTCATACAACATTTCCATTTAATTCCTACACTCGCTGTATTCTGTGCATTTCTGAAAAATGTATGGGTCTAATTCTTATGCATAGATTTTTTTTTTTATTATTATTATTTAATGTATCACTCTCACTCACTTATATCCAATCAAAGCTGCTTCTCTGCGTGACTCCTACCTCAATTCATACGCTTTTGTCTTTTTTCTTTACTCTCTCGTTGCCTTTGTAACGCCTCCCCATCTCGCGGTCTCCTACACTGCCTCTGTTTTTTCACACGCCGGTATACGGCCGATGAAATATTTCCTGCTCTTTAATGCATAGTGCTGTCTGCCTTCCCTCAGGCGCACTCTTTAGCTGGCCCCCCTCCCAGTTCCCTTTTGTCCCACCTTATATTGTGAAGTCTCCTTCTAAAACACGAGGCATGATGCGGGGAGGCTTTAGCAGAGGTTTACTGGGGTCAAACTCTGCCTCATTTGCATATATACTATCACAGTGTAGCTTCTTGAGCCCCAGGGCAATAAGGGATATTGGATATATGGGTGAAGTAAGTCGGGGTTGAAAGGGAGAAAAACTGAGGAGGAAAAAAAGAAAGTGTTTATAAAGCAGGGAGGAAAGGAGTCTGGACACTGACAGCAAAAACAAAACATAATGAGGATGAGGACTTAGTTAAAATTACAATAAGAGCAACAGAGCATAAAAAAGTCAATGAATAAAAACAGGTTTTGAGATGAGGTTTGGAATATTTGGACTGATTCAGCTGATTTCAACGCGCTTGGTTTAACCAAGACCACCAAACCGGAGAGCGTAATATTCACTTAGTCATGTCAAAGCAACAACAACAACGCATTACAAAAAAAGGTTTCATAATCAAGATTTCATTTTGAATCAGTGAACAACGATATATCTCACTGGTGTGCACACACGCAGTTAAACCACTGTTAATTTTATCATCGCTCTCCTGTTTCATTACATTACAGCGAACCTTTTAAACCTCCTCTTACAGCTTTTTCACATAAACCCCCACATAAACGCCAACCCATATAACATCCTGGCATCTTAATGGCACACACACACACGTGTCTCTTACCGGAGTGAAGTTCATGACTTTGAGGATCCAGATGGTGAGCGCCAGGTTGACGATCATGGTGACGAGGAGGAGGAGGATGAAGAAGTACAAGCATCTCTTCCTCCAGCCGTAGATTCCCACTGCCGGGTAAACCTGGGCGCCGCACACCGAGGCCCCTCGCTGGTGGAGCGGGTTGGGCTGCGCTGCAAGGATGTACTGCTCCTGGGTCATCTGAAAGCAAAACCAACAAAGAATACACGTAAGAATCGTTTATTTTCAGGTGGAATTTTGCGTAGATTTAAAATTGGATTTTGAGAAATTCATTGGTAGCTCCATGCCCAAATTTTGGAGTAAAAAAATTGCATTATTTGGCACTGCAGAGGATACTGGATCACCAATTTACTGCCTTATAGGGTGAAAAATAAATCCATTTCAACTTGCAGTTTGAAATAGTGCAATTAGCACATTGCAAAAGCTGCAATTGAGGATATATGTTCTATCTGAGGCAGGTTTAAACTGACATGTGAGTGGTTTTACAAATTCATGCCATGCTCCTTGTGTGAACTTAAAAAACAGTTACTTCACAAATGAAATTGCAATAACTGTCAGAAAAAAATGTAATTAGATAGTTTCCCTTAATGCCTCTTATCAATAACTCACTGTGGGAGAACTGTGGATGAATCACCATCATTACAACCCCTACATCAGGATAAAAAACTAATAAGCTTGATCTGAGTCAGCCGATATCACAGGTATGTCTCGGTCAAATTGAGTCTGGTTGAGTTAAGCTTGGCAAAAGAAGCAAACTGTTTAAAGATAAATGGTGTGAAATGATCAGCTGTTCCCAGATGATGCACAGGCTCCAGATCAGAACCCATCTAACAGGGAGAACATCTGCATCAGAGACACTCCAGCAAAGAACTTCTGATTGTTAGAAAAGGTTGTGAATGAGCACTTTATGTTCCACATTGTGTCCTGAGTTTGTTTAAACCCAAGACAACACAGAACAGGGTTGAGTGTTCATGTAAAAATTCAGGGAGGATAAACAGAATTCAAAATAATGAAATAGTACAAGTTTAAAGTAAGGGCTGCACGGTGGCTCGGTGGTTAGCACCGTTGCCTCGAAGCAAGAAGGTCGCTGGTTCGCGTCCCAGTGAGGACACCCGGGATCTTTCTGCGTGGAGTTTGCATGTTCTCCCCGTGCAGCGTGGGTTCTCTGTGGGTTCTCCGACTTCCTCCCACACAGTCCAAAAACATGTTGAGGTTAATTGGTGATTCTGAATTGTCCGTAGGTGTGAATGTGTGTGATAGACTGGTGACCTGTCCAGGATGTCCCCTACCTTCGAGTCAGCTGGGATAGACTCCAGCACCCCCCCTGCGACCGTAGTGAGGATTAAGCGGTGTATAGATAATGGATGGATCAAAGTTTAAAGTAACTGTTTGTTGTATTTGTTACTATGAACAGATGAATCCCTTCAGGAACAACAGCGAGTGTCTCGCTCTGGGCACCAAAATGTCCAGAAATGGCCCCGCATGCAGTGCAGACCAAGATAAGACGGAAGGAGGAGAGGGTTTTGGTCATGGCACAGAGAAGGATGGAAGGGGATGAGGGGGCAGAACAAGATAGAAAAGGAAAGAGAGACTGGAAGCATTTGTGAGTTTTGAGCGCGAGATAGCAGAGAAGAGAAAGAGAGAGAGACCAAAGCACGATAAAAATGAGATAGAGGTGGAGCCGTAAAGTGGAAAGATAGCACAGCATTGAGTACTGAGAGATAGAAAGGTAGGACGGGGAGAAAGAGAGAGAGAGAGAGAGAGAGAGTGTGTGCAGATAAGGTGGTAGAGGAGGACAGAGTCCATTAGTTGTAGTGCAGCAGCCGGAGTCGTTGGTGGAAAGAGATACGGACACTGGCTGCAAGGCACTACTATCTCTGTCCATCTGACTCTCTAACTCTCTTTCACTCTCTTTACCTTGCTCTCTATACCTCAAATTCTCTCCCTGCTCTCTCCCTAATTCACTTCCTATCTCACTTCTGCACCTCTCTCTCTTTATCAGCCTCGCTCTCCCCTCTCTCTCTCTCACACACACACACACGCACACACACACACACGCGCACACATTATGTCTTTATTTGCTGAGACTGCATGACCTTAACACCTCACCGACTGTTGATTTTTCTTTCACCCCTGCAATGCTTTTTCTCCATATAGTCTCGCATGATGATACCAACAAGCCTTGATGGGAAGCAAAAAAAATGCTGACTCCTGCCTTGCCTGCAGCAAAAAAAAAAAAAAAGAGGAAATGCAGACTTGGCCTCTTAAAGTTTTGTTGTTTTTTTCTTTAAGGGGAAGAGTCAAAAGCAAATATCAAACTATTATCTTGTGTCTCCACAGGCCTTTTGTTTCTCATACACAGAAAGCAAAGTCCAAGCTCCTTTTTTTAAGTTGTTGATGCGTAAATGCTGACAAAAACTGCAAAACTGAACCTTTGTTAAAGCACCAGAACGGTAAGAAACAAGGAAAATGAGCTTTGAGGTGAATTAATGTTTCGACCGACGTGTTCCGTCTCAATGTTGAGTTTCCCAGTGAAGAAGCTCTCATTGCTACATCAAACCAGAAAATCAAAGAATACATGCTCTGAAAATGTTGCATCCATTCACGCAATACTAAATGCATTGCAAGTTCTGCAGTAAAAGTTTGCATTACAGCCAGCAAGGCATCCATCCATTGTCTATACACCGCTTAATCCCCACTAGGGTCGTGGGGGGCTGGAGTCTATCCCAGCTGACTGAGGGTGAAGGCAGGGGACACCCTGGACAGGTCACCAGTCTATCACAGGGCTACACTTAGAGACAGACAACCAAGCACACTCACATTCACACCTACGGACAATTTAGAATCACCAATTAACCTCAGCATGTTTTTGGACTGTGTGGGAGGAAGCCAGAGAACCCACGCTGCACGGGGAGAACATGCAAACTCTACGCAGAAGGATTCCAGGACGCGAACCGGCAACCTTCTTGCTGCGAGGCAACAGTGCTACCAACTGCGCCACCCCAGCAGGGCATCAGACGTACAATACTGCTGGTTGTTTGGCAGCTATAAGAGTCCAGAGGATACAACTTTACAGCAGAAACTGCTGATCTAGTGACCAGTCTTCTATTCTGAAAAACAATATTGAAGTCTCACGTGGAAATGGCTGCAGCCGTTACTCACTGTGAAGATGCAGCGTGGGGACATTTGCATTATTCATTAGGTTGTATTCCGATTGGCTGGAGGTGTGGCTCCGGGTTCACCTCAAGCCTATCAGATAGGTACTCATGAATAATGTAAATAGTATGTAAATAGCTTCCTGAAGCAGCCTTCTGGGGGAACGAGGGGGAATCTGGGCTGTAAGCAAAGATGGATTTAGAAAGGCCTAAACATGCTTTAGGGAGTAAATTGTCACAGATGTGTTTAAAACAGATGCAGTATTTAGTAAGAAAATGACTCACAACACTACATCCTGAAGAGTTTTGAGATGATTGTGTCCTGATAGTTGTCCCACATGTGATGACACTACGCTGCTCTCATTTAACACAAAACTGCTTTTAAGTAATCCAACACAATCTGTCTCTTTGTGTGAAAATTCCAGCGTGATACTCTAAAAATATAACTCAAATAGTACACTAATAAAGTTACTTAAGCAACACCAGTCGTTCAAGTTCTGGTGTGTTACAGAATCTAACACAGTGGTGTGTTTTTCTTTACACTCCAAGAACCATTTTCCACATGAATTAACCAAGATACTGGGTGACTGAACTGTGATAAGACAGAGCAAAACACGTCCAATCCAGGCGGAAATGCACCCAAGACGCATTGAAAGAGCCAATCAAGCAAAACCTATCCGGAGGTGCACGGAAATATGTTTGGCTGTGTTAAGTGTGGAGCGTGAATCCGATGAGCGGGGCAATAAAGTATGTGCAGCAAAACTTTAAACAAGCAATGCGTTTGTCAAAAGGGGGAAAACAAGAAGTGCCAGATTCAGATAAGGTGATTAAAAGAATCGCAATCTGTTTTTTTCGGGGAAAGGAAAGATGAAGCTGCTTTAAATGTGCATACAAAAAAAAAAAAAAGCCATTCCACATTTTTGATCTACATGTAACTCGACTCATTTGTATCAGGGCGCAATCTGGATATGAGGCACATATTAATGCTAAGTGGAAAGAGAGCTTAATGTTTGTCAAGTGGGCTAATGGATTAATGATGTTTTGCCTTTTCACAGCGAAGAAAATTCTCCTGCAGTGCTTGGCAGCCGTTTCATTTGTTTCACTTTCCGCGTGCATCTGTTCTCCTCGCTGCAGATACAATGCATATGAATCAATAGCGGAGCGCTGCTGGAGAGGAGAGCGTCGGAATGGGCCGCTGATCATTTTATCTCTGTATTCAGAGTCCACTCGGAATCAATAGCAGAGAAAAGTGTAGCCGTGCGCTGATATGTTTGCTGTGTGTGTGTGTGTGTGTGTACCGGAGTTTTTGTGTAGTGACCTGGAATGCTAATCATCTTCCTGCATGCGTCAACAATGGGAATCGATAGATACACAAACACACACACACACACACACACAGTTTTGTCCTTGTGTGTCAGCTATTGCATGGGTGATTCTGTAGGGCAACAATGTGAACAAGTAAAAAGAACCACTGCAAACAATGAAAACCAAACTTTTTTTCTTTTTAATCAACAAGTGGCGCTGGATTGCCTGATGTCACTTCTGCATTGTGTGTTTTCAATTACTCACCCGCTCACTGATTTACTGTAGACGCTGTCTGTTGTGCTCTGCGAGGGGCTCACTCATTGTGATGCATGTACATTTGTGTCTCGTTTCACTCTGCATTATCAATACGAGTCAGCAGTTTGACAAAATGTTTGGGTTTTTTTACACCTACGCAGCCTTTTGCCACTAAAAAATTCCCTCGCTTTTTCGTTTTATCTCTTTTTTTTTTTTTGGGTGCCATTTTTCAAACTTGTCGCTAATTTTCTTCCTATTTTAATTCACATTTGAAGCACATTCCTGTCCTTGCCCCCAATCTTCCCTTCAGCGCTCCTTCACTAGTCCTTTTTCTGCTGAAATAAAAAAAAAAAAGAAGTGAAAAATACATGAATGAAAGTCTAATTTGTAAAAAAGAAGGCTAAAAAATAAAAAAAGAATTTAAAGCTTGTTTCATCCTTCTTACTTTTAGCTGCATAGCTGACC